GTGTGTGAGAGAGTGTGTGTGAGTGTCTGTGTCTTTTGCTCCGTCCTCCAATAACAACAAGCCCTCACTCAACTTTCTCCTTTCCTGTACTTGGATATCGTCTGCATCAGGCAGAAACCTTGTATGTCCAAAACGTTTCAGGAAATTAAATTATGCTTAATGCGAGGTGGAAAATGTCCCGGTGATCCCTCCCCGTCCGCTATGTAGAGAGAATGGCGACCGCAGAGGATGGGCGGGGTCCAACGTTCCTCACAGCGCATTTGGCCACACTCGACACTTTACAATAGTTAGTTTGAGTATGGAAGGATTCAAATTGAGACCCACATCCAAGTATTGACTACTTTTCCGGCAGACGAAGGTCGGAGCGTCGGCTACGGTTTTCCAAGTCGTCCACCAACTCTTCAATAGCCGTTTTTTATGACCGTAATCTGGACTAGCAGCAACGCAACCAGACGTCTGTTGTTGGTTTCATTGATGTAAAACCAACAGACAGACGTTAAGGGTAACCAATAGCATTGATTTATGAAAGAAAATGTATAAAAATTATGTACTATGCAGATTCAAGGTTCCTTACGTACTGCGAGTTGAGCTGCAGTTTTGGCTCATTGGCTGGTTTTGACCAGATTACATCAGGGACCAACACGTCACGTTACTTCATGAACGTGAGAAAAACATTCTGCATTTTCTAATAAAACTCTCTTTGTTTTCCAGGGGAAGAACGATGAGCTGCTCCTCCACCTTCCTTGTCAAACCAAAAGAGTACGACATCCCCGCTTCCCACGACCCTCCTCCTCCTCCTCCTCCTCCTCCTCCTCCTCCTCTTCCTTCTTCCTCCAACAAAGGTGAAATAAAACAAACTCTGGATTAAAAACACTGACACTCATAGGAAACTCGGAGCTATGAGACGCCTTTCCATTACAAGAGGACATCCCGACTGATTTTTGCACAGAGCGAAGCTACAGTGGGACTCTGAGGTACGACAAACGTTACTTGAATCATCCATATATTTACAACATGTCTGCTGGCTAACGGAGTCCTCCATATATTCAACGAATAGATGTTTTTTGGGGAGATTGCTCCTCTAGCTGTAGAGAAAAAAAAGAACTTGTAAGTCCTGTCTGTACGTTGCATATCATATTCAAACCAAAACATATTATTGCATGCTTGGAAAAGTAGAGCATGTAAACAGAAGAAGTTTGACTTTTGTGTTGACGGCTCAACCCAGCACCGCTAATCTGTAATATGGGAACAACAACAACAACAACAACAACAGCTCATCGATATCACGTTTATTGAAATAATTCTGTTCGACCGGTGGAGTTAGTTGCTAAATCTCTATTTTTTAAAGTATCATACTGTATATGTTTTATATGGAGAGGAATTGGTGAATTATTTTGTAGATTTCTAACATTTTTGCTAATGTGTTTTAATTTTTTCATTTCTTTTTATTATTATAATTATTATTATTATTATTTTTGCCTTTGTAAAAACAAAAGCAGCTCCAGTGGGCAGCTCTGATGAAAATGTCTGCCTGCCAAAAACACTTTAAAAAAAGAAGAAGATGAAACTGCCCATAATAAGAAGAATGTTTGTGTGGAAAAGTAAAAAAAATAAGACAGTTGAAATGCATTTATCGCAGACATTTGTATGGAAGCTCTTTTCCACTAATGTGACAGGAAGAAAAACAATTCTGTAATTAATTATAATGAGAAACCTTCTCAGTGTTTTCATTTAGTATCACAGTCGATATTTTAAGATACTAAATTAAATTATGGAGAAGGTTTCTAATTATGATTTACAGAATCCTTTTTTTCCCCCGTCACTTTGGCAGAAATGGTCTTCCATACATTTGACATCTGATTTTCTTTTGAATAATTTTGAATCTTTCTGATTGTGTTTTTAGGTTTTGATCAAAATGCTGTATATCTGTTATATCAATGACATCTACCTCAGTGTCCGCTCATTAACGACAGAAGCTTTAACACCTGAACGACGTTGGGAGTCCCTCGTTTATCTGAAATCAGACCAGTTTTTAAATGCAATTTAATAAACCCAAACACTCTATAAACTGCCATTTAATAACTCAGAAAAGTCTAAAAAGTGTTAAAGAACCTAGAGGAAATGTATACCTACAAAACCATATTAACAACGGATAAAATATACAGTATATGAAGCCAATATTGGCCTTTTTAATATCAGATGTCATCCAGCCTGATTATAGCAAACAGCTTAGAGCCTGACGTCACATTTTCTTTGCACATTTTAATTTATTTGTGAAATTGTTCATGTGAACGAGTGTGACTGTTTTTTTAAATTAAATGTTGATTTAAGGGCAATAATGTGCTGCAGAGGTTTTCTACCATTGAATAAATGGAGCCTGTCTTAAAAACTGCTAAACCTAAAAACAATATATTCGTTTGAGGTTTTAATGGAAAAGGAATTTTACGTCAGCCGATGGTCTAAAATGTTTTTTTTCCACCGCGACAAAGATTCAGTACCCGGAAGTAAATTTCAGCCACAACATTGGTGACATTTATGGGAAATCTGGCGGTTAGCTTTCTCCCAGACTCAGATATCAGTTTAAACTCCAGTACAGGGACAAGTCCAGGATGAGTTTAGCCTAGCTTAGCACAAAGGCTGTAAGCGGGGGGAAACTACTAGCCTAGAACACAACTTCCAACCACCTCAAAGCTGCCTGGTTTGTATCGTTTTAGCATTTAGCGCTGGAGCTATTTGGCGATAAACGACTGTGATAAACGTGAAGTAGAATAGATCATGGACATTTCTTACCTAGCTTAGCACAATAACTGGAAGCGGGGAAAACTGCTAACTCAAGTAGCCACAAAACCTAACGTAACCACATTACGTTAGGTTTCTGCAGCTAGTTGATGTTATAGCTGTATGTAGGCTGAAGCGAATAGTTCTTCCAGTGCTAAGCTAAACACGTCCTGGACCTGTCACTGTAATGGAAATGATGGAATATCCTTTTTCTCTTCTGACTCTGGGGAAGATGACAAACAAAAATATTTCCCAAAATGCTGAACTTACCATCATCATCATCATCATCATCATCATAAAACATTGGTACAACTCTGTAAAAACTTGCATCCATCAACGCTAGCATCGACTGCAGTTTGGTCTTGTTGTAATTCTGCTTTGCTTGGACATAAAAACAGCCTCGGGTGATTTCTGTTTGACGGTGGCAGTGATGAGCTCTGACTAGGCATCAGTTATGATGATTAATGTATTCTGCATACTGTATGTGCAACAATAATAATACAGTATTTCCCCTGCGAGTGCAGCAACGTCCTCATCACCAAACTTCCACATATTTAACCATCACTTGATATTCACGACATGTAATATTTTCATGCTTCATTATCAGCTGCAGAGGTCAGTTCGGGCTGCTGAGGTCAGTTCTGGCCGCAGAGGTCAGTTCTGGCTGCAGAGCTCAGTCACCAAATTGTTTAATTTTCATGCAAAAATAAGAAAAAGCAATAGTGTGAGTGAATATTGTGCTCTGGGAACTTCGGTGTGGAAGCAAAATGCATTTTGATTTCTTCTTCTTTCTGTTTTTTATTTCCAGTTGTTGTTGTCATGTTTATTTTGACAACCTTCAATTGTGATCTATTTTTGATAAAATAAATCTTTAATCATGATCAGCTTCAATCTTCATGTGTTTCAGATGACTGCACATGCGGACGTGTCGTTTTCTGTTCCGTGTTGGTTTTTCATGAGTCACAGACGTTCCCACAAGATGGCACATTCAAACAGTTCATCACACATCTGTCACATCTGTATCACCGTCATCCATCCTGAAGCCCTTCGGTTGGTGGAGAGGACGAGGCCGAACTTTAAAGTCCAACTGAAATTATGACGTAATTTATGTCTAATCTGTAAATCACTGTGATTAATTTATAATTTATGTTTTTATTTTAACATAAAGGTCCGTGTTGTATCGTAGGCAGACAGACTAAACAACACATATTAGCTTTCCTGCTATTTCTGATCTCACTTACAAACATGAACACATGAAACGTTTCCTGCACTTTAACTTGTTGAATCAAATGACACCAGGGAAAAGTGCTAATGATAGTTAGCAGGCTCAGTAACTAATTAGCTGCTCAGCTAATTAAGCACATTAAGCAAAACATAAACGTACTTGCTAATGTCACTGATGCCGGTGTGGTTCTTACTCTTCACTAACACGCTGTCTGCTCATAACATTCAGCGCAAAACAACTCTCCGATTTAATAATTAAAAAAATCTGTTATAACTATTATCCTTTTACATTATATGAACTATAAACATACATTTAAAAATATACGTTGATGTTATTTCTGATTACAGAGAGGGTTGAGTGGATGTGATTTCAGTTGGCCTTTAAAGTTCAGCCTCCAGAGGGAGAGCAGTGTGTCGTCAGTGGCTTTAATATATAACTGTAGTTTGACTGAAACCCTCAACCAAAAGAGACTTCATCACGTTCACTTCATCAGTGGGTACCCACATCAGACGCTTACTGTATACTGAAGATATCAGTCAGCGTTGTTTCAAGGGAAAATGGAAAATACATTTAATTTCAGTCCTTTTGTATTGAAATGTGATCAACAAAATATGGAAGTAGGTTGAATCCTGGAAGTTTTTCCTTCAGTGTTGCTCAAATCTACTTGTTTATCTATAGAGTTCAGTTACCTCTAATATATATTATCTTTTTAGGGTTCCCCCAAACCGGTTATTCCCCACTGATTATCTGAATACATAATTCTGTATCCACTATAGCCATCCATATCACTCATAGTTTGTAGTAAGAAATAATTAAATCTTTGTTGTCTCCCAGTTTTAAAACCAAACTACAGCCTTGATAACTGTTCTTTAACATGCAAACCATTAACAGCGTTGACGTCTGCAGGGGTGAAGAGTTCGGAAGTTGTGATGTGAAAATACTTAGTAGGTTAAAGCGAATATTTAACTGCAGACAGAAAACCAGCAGAGGTCAGTTAGAAACATGCAGTAACCACAGTTATTCATCGATAAGCAATAATGCATGTAAAGTACAGTATCATCAGCAAAGGTGGGTTCTCTGGTTGTTTGTATCTGTGCATAAAAAGTTAACAGTGCCTTAATCATAACCTGATTGAGTTAATAACCCTGTCAAATGCATCTGAAGTACCACAGAAGAAGAAAGTGTGTGTGTGTGTTAGCACTGTAGGGACGCAATCGACTGGTTGCACATAGAAATAATGTAAATTAATGTATTGAATGTACAGTAAGTTGTCTTCCTGGTTGCTGTTATGAGAGGAAACAAATGTGATGAAGTAAAAAGAAAAAATCTCCTCTGTGGAAGCTCAAAGTGGACAAGACTATTCATATTTTAAGGCCTGTTATCTTGTAAAGTCAGTCATTGTTTAGTCACATCTATTTTAGTTGTGATTACACCCCCTTCGCCTCACCTTACCATTCCAAGAGTGTAAGAGAACCTACGGAAGACCTGAAAATCACTGAAAACCTTATTTAGAGCCAGTGTTCATTAATTAAATATATTTTTTCAGGTGTTTGGGGAATGTCCAGATATAAATGTTTGAGTTTCTTGTGCATGATTATAAAACATGGTTTGGTTTCCTGAAAAAAAAAAACCCAAAAATAATGTTTTCTTGTAAATTAAATTGTGATATTGGGATTATAGCCCTAAAGAAATATTTGCAATCATGTCCACTTTGGGCTTCCTTAGATTAATTTTCTGTTTTCGAATAATGACATTCCTCATATGTCTCACTTTAGTTTTTCTTTGGCAGCTCATGAAACTTTATCACATTTTCATACAATCTGTTGCTTTTATTTTTTACATTTGTATTATTTTAGTCTGGATGCTGAGTAATGGCCAAACGTTATTATTGTTAATTTTAACTAAAATGAAGAGAAAGTGAATTAAAATGAATGTGAACATAACATTTTGCCTGCAATTAAACTGAGTTTACATATTTATCCTGTGTTTAAAATTAGCTGATGGTAAAGTCATAAAGTTTAGATTTTAATAATTAACCCCAAAAAAGAAGAAAAGAAATAATGAAATGATACAAAATCTAACATAAATTTAAAGAAATGGGACTTAAATAACCTTAATCATAATATTTAGTTTTCATATGACGATTGTTAACTGTACCATTTTTTACAGTGCTGCTAAAAAATGATGCATTATGTTTAAAAAATAACTTTACAATTGTTGTCCATAAAAACTGACGCATTCTGGCGTCTGAATGACTTCTTGGGTGTATGTGAAAGGCTGTTGCTTTAATTATTAAATTAAAAAAGGGATAAATTCCCATCAGAAAATGTCAGAAAATTATTTATTCTAATTAATATGTAGTTTGATTGACGATATCAAATTCATGTTAAATCAAAAATATTACTTTCCTTTTTTATAATGCTGTTAAAATTAAACTGAGAGATACAAGACTGAGAGAAAAAATACTAAAAAACAACAATCATCCATCCTTACCGGCATGAGTGTAACACAAGCAGTGTGTCTCCATGTGTTTGAGGTCGGTCCTGTATTCATTCACTGAACTGTGTGTTCGTCTCATGGTGTTTTCCCGCTTCTGCTAACAGCTGATTCAACAGTGACAAAAATAACTGTCTGCAAAACCTCAATTTGTGTCTTCAGTGTGTAAAATCTCAAATAATATTTTATTTTTGTCAACTTGAGTATCTGTGTATTTCACTGTATGGCAGGTATAAAGTTAAATAACATTAAAAAAAAGAGAACAAGTCTTTCATAATGTAATATATGTATGGCTTGGGATCGTCCATAATGTATATGCACAACAGAGTCATTCTGAATACTAGTTGTGACTAAGTTTAATGTGGCCTTTTCTTTCTCTTTAATGTACTGCAATGTTGTAAATGATTTGTATAATATGATATAATGTAAAGTTAACAAGGCTTTATGTTTCTACCACCTATGTTTAATACATAAATGAACTGTGCTCAACTGTATAACGTGCCCCTTTTTTTTGAATACATCGTTCAGGTTATCCACATGAAACAAGAAGCAGGAAGTTTGCTTCCTCATGTTTACGTATTTCCTGTTAGGTAGGGAGCTAATAGCACTGAATATGGCAACTATAGTGGTCCTATTAGCTGACTACTATAAATATGATTCAGTTTCACCCAAATCACTGATAAAGTTGTGTGTTTGTACTAATGAATCTTCACTCTGTGTCGCTAAAAGTTGAAGATTGATTGACGGGTGAATGTCAGGATATTATTGAAATCGGTTGGTTCACTCGTACGTCACATTTTGTTTCACAGGAAGAAAAAAATATTGGATTTTGATATAAAAATATAAAAAGAAATTAAATTTTTATTTTAAAACACCATTCTTATAGGTGAAGTTCACAGTTTCAATGGCTTTTTTTATTGTTTTTCTGGCGTTATATGGAGACTCAGTGGAGCTGCAACTCCGAGACAAATTTCCTCACAGGAACAATGAAGTCGTATCATATTCTAACTTCTTGACTCCTCTTTGCAGAGTCATGTAGATCCAGCAGATATCCTGCTTTCCTGCTACTCCAGCCGCCCTAAGCCTCATTCAAAAGTAATGACTCTGAGTTGCAGGGAAACAGATCCATTACATAAGAGAGCCACTCTGAGGGAGTCAGCGGAGACTGCAAATGGAATAACCACAGCTGAACTCCATTAGCACTGTGACTGCTGAATCAGCAGGCATAATTGTTCCATCCATCCATTCCTTCACTGCAGCTTGCAGGTCCAGGTTACGGTGGCAGCAGGATACGTTAGGTAGCAAATACATCCCCCTCTCGTCTCCACATCCTCCAGATGGGTGTACTGGTCTATCACAGGGGCTCCTCCCAGTCGTCCAAGACCAGAAAAACCTCTTAAAGACACTTTCAAACCACCGCAGCTGGCTCCTTTTGTCACAAATGAGCAACCTGTTTAATCTAATCTCCTTCAGGATGAGCCACCCTGCACAGGAAACTAATATTGGCTGCTTGTTTCCACAGAGTCATTCTTCCTGTCACAGCTTCTGACTGTAGGTCAGGGTTGGAACAGCTGCTGAACCGAGAGGTTGCATACTTATAACAAGGGATCTGGGATGTTGAGGGAGCAGGTCTCTGTAAAGATGTGTGCACAACAGTCTCTGATTTCCTGTTGTGTATGTCCGATTCAGACAGGACATTAGCCACCTTAAGTTCCTATCCCGGTGCTCTTCCTCTCCTCTTGGGACAGCACCTGCCATAGTGGGCTGGTCCAGCTGATCTGGCTGGATGCTCTTTAATCCAAACCCTACGCTTTGTTTTTGGATGACTGTAGGATATTTTTGTTGTATTTTTTTTTAGCAATAAAGACGAAAGAATATTCAGATTCAACCTTAGATTGTCTTATTGCCACTAATGGGAGGAGGGTCACTCAAACGTTCAGGTACTCCAAGAATATTCAGAAAATTCAGAAAATTATTTCAGTTAGTAGCCTCTGAACGTTTTTATATCTTCAATTTATATCGTCCATCTTATTTGCAGCAACATATGAAGAGGTAGTTTAAATGAAACAACAAAAACAACAAAAAAATTATAATAATCTTGCAAACTGAATTATATTAACACAAAAACAAAGATGTTTGAAGGAACTATCCATAATCAGAATCTCCGGATCCAGTCCATTTGAACAAATTTGGCTCGGACCCATCAGATCATTTGACGATGTTTTTAGTAAAACGTGAAAAATGCACATTAAAGCAAAAATGTCGGCCCGGTTTTGTGAGTGAGAGAAGTTTTCTAACATGTCGTTAATGTTGATAAAACGTCTTTATAAACCGAGATATTGTCCCAAATCAAAGTGCAACAGAAAACTGAAGATAACTGAAAAAGAAACAAAAAATACAATGTGCATTTTGTTATCTTTACACGGAGCCAGGTTAGCTGTTTACAGTCTTTATGCTAAGCTAACCTAACTGGCTGTTTCCTATTTAGCCCTCATATTTAATGGATAGATGTCAGAGTGGCATTGATCTTCTCATCCACCAGACAATGACCTTCCCAATATGTGAAACAGTTATTTTTACATGGATTGTTAAAGTCTCTCTCTCTCTTTATAAATATTTCCCATAAAGCACTGTACACTCGCCTCATTAGCATCACTTTTTGACTGCAGCAACATTTTGATCGGTGGCTGTCTGACCGGCGGAGAGACGAGATCACTTCGCCTTTTTGTGTTTGTGAAACTCAGAACCGCTCCGCATTAATAATTGATCGGTCCGAGGTGGTTTCACTGCTCCTCCCCGGTGAGGTGAGCACTAACGGGAGGCCGGAGGTCTGAGTGGAGCAATCTGTGTGTTCATGTGTACAGTATGTGACTGTCCTCATCATGACCTGCATGAATCAGTGCTGACGGCCGCTCACTGAACCATGTGTTATGAAGCTGCTCTTAGCCTTGTTCCTTAAGGTGGAAGTGTTTGGTGTTGTTCCTTAAGGTGGAAGTGTGTGGTGTTCATCCCAGGATATTCTGCACTGTTATGTTTCCAGTTCGGTGCAGGAGATGTTTAAACTGGTGTTTGTGGTCCAGCAGCTGTAGCGGTCGTATTGATGCTGACGGAGGACAGTTTGACCCCGGCACCCCCCGACTGAGTCACCTAACATTAGCTGCACGAGCTAACAGCAGCTAACATTGCTAAAAGTAACTAACTTCTGCTAACGGTAATAAAAACATCAGAAAACTCCATAAATAACCTTTTATACGAGCGATAAAGTCGTGTGTTTGTACAGTAATCAGTGAGCTAACTAATGAATCTTCGCTCCGTGATTGATTGACGGGTGAATGTCAGGATATTTTTGATTGTAATCAGTTCTTACGTCAGCATGCGTCACGTTTGTTTTACAGGCAGACAAAATGATTAGATTTTGATATAAAAATACAAATAATTTGAGTTTTTTGTACATGTTTTGTGATACAGGGTTAAAAATCGATACATCAGATATATTTAAGTTAGTGTGGGTCAAACGTCAGAAACTCTGGATCCTACATTTCCCATAATAGTCAATGAACAGCTTATTTCACTCAAACAATGCGTTTAATCAGGATCAGCTGAGGGCCTGACCACAGCGAAGAGTTAACCAGAAGCCCTGTGTGATGCAGCCATTACTGGGCTTTATCATGCCCCGAAAGTTCTCTCATCTCTCAAATCTCGACTGGGATTAGCCAGTAATCCAAGGACATTCCCACCCATTTGAAGATGGCTAGTGGCCACGAGTCATTAATCTAGGCCACCGCCGGAGTCATCAGTCACATCAGTCACATGACCCTGTGGTCACCCCGTCCACCAGGGCTCGCTTGCTCTCTTTTGCCTCAGAGGAAGCATTTTGTTAGCTCACTTAGGAAGCAGAAAATCCTTGCAGAAGCAGCACAGTCGTCCCTGACTGACAGCAATAAAGGAATTTTCCCAGGAAATGTTCCTGTTTATTTAGAAACCTGGGACCTGTTAGCTTCAGCCTCAGTCTGTTGCTATCCAGTCTGAAGGCCCACATTTTTACCATCCACTGGTTAGATTCTGGGTGCGTTTTTTAACTCTAGATTTGAACCGGATGAAGGATTTTACTACTAGCTAGATACCAAGTTACATTCATCAAAAAATTTCTAAAAAATTGACACAAATATTGTAAAGAGTTGTTTGCATTCGTACACATAGTTGTTTGTCGATTTACAGAAATAATAATTCTTAAACTGACATATTTCTTCACATTAAAAATCTTTAACGTTCAGTGTCGTTATCGGGTTATAACCCTACAAACAGGAACCATATCCAATGATAATATGCTAACTGTTTGTAGGTATTATAACATCAGATAGGTATAAACT